CCGATTTATGATGCTTATTTTTTTTTTTTTTTTTGGCCGATATGTTTAGCCGATTTTCTTTTTTCTTTTCTTGTTTCAGCAAATGATTATTGCAGAGTACAAAATAGATGGTAGTACTAGCCCAATTTAGAGTAATAATACATGGCTCAAAACTTAAGCACCTTCTCAAAACAGTTCTGAAGGATGCTTTTTGTTTATGTTTGCTGACAGACACCAGTGTTTCCCACAGACTGCAAATTAATTCTCTGCCAGCAGGAGGCGCTTTGGGAGCTGGAGATACAGCGGTTTCCCCAGTAAAAGCTGTAATCAAATAAGCGCTGCTCACAAACGCTATCAGGCATTACAGGAAAGACGAAATGAAAATGACATTGAAGCTTTTCTGAAGGCAGTCGGTCCTTTTCAAAGATACATTCATATAAAAATACCCACGCTGAATTTTAGTTTTGAAACGTGAAGAGCTAATTTTATTCAACAAAGTATAAGCCTTTTGGAAAATCTATTCTTTAGCGGTCAGTTTTGATATTGTGATGAGCCGCCACAAATAACTCAATGTATAGGAAACACTGGACACTGCTATAAGTCAAATGAGAACTTTCATGAGGAAAGTTAACGTGCACGTTATAATCAGCCCAGAAGTTTCGTCTGAATTGAACGCGTTTCTACGTTCACATGCAAATGACTTGTTGTACTTATGAATATGATAACTTTCCAGCATCAATTCTAGTAGGGTAAAACGTAATCCCGCTTACGAAACGGTCTGTTTTGCCCTGACATTAGCTGAGGCTGTGTGTGAACAAGCCGCGGCTGCTGCAGCCTGCAGAGCGTGAGCTGCTCCGTCTCACGCAGCCAGAGGAAGTTCCACAACAATGCTTAGCTGCCCAAAAATTGGCCATTCTCTATGAAGATGGGGAAGCACGAGGAGCTGAAGGATAAACAGATTTCCAGCCACTGTATTAGCTCTACTGCTCTGTGTTTATGGAGATAAAAGGAGATTTAAAAAACTGCCCCAGAACAGCTATCAGCGTTGCAGAGCGCATATTGAGTCCGTGAGTAGCCTAACCTCTCTGCTCGGATCGCAGGTGAATTTCCCTCACTTATATGAGTGAGAGAGAGCGGCGCCGGCGCGTCCAGTTTTACATCAACAAAACTGGATGCTCTCCCTCTCTCTCAGATATCACAAGTGCGCTTTAGGGCACCAACCGGCAGAAACATCTGCACCTATGGCATGGACGACGAAACAAAACCTTGTCAGAGCCGAAATGCGGTGCAGAAGTGTGCAGAGTGTTTGCTTGCCACGCATCTACATTTGAAATATCGAACCTGAGCGCGCAAAAGACGCGATGTGAATGGCTTTTTTCCCTCCTGCATGTTATGTGCGCAGGGCTCCGTTTTTATGATGAGAGGAGAGAAAAGGTTGAGAAAGCACTCCAGGTAAATTTTGAAATGTACCAGGTTTATATATAGGCTATATATAAAGTTGATAAGCAGTTAAATGAGTTGGTTTACACACACACACACAAAAAAGTGTAAGCTTTTAGTAAGTCCAAGAATAAAATGATTACTTTCCTTAGCATGATAAATTTGATTTACAGAACTTTTGTGCTGCTTTCTAACAGTTTGGACTTAAATAAAGAGAAAACTTGCACTTAACCTTTTCACAGGCATTTTGATTTCATAGTTAGACAGATATCCTGATGTATCATTATAGAATTGTATAGCAATATATCGATTATCGCAGAATCGCGATATTATCGTATCGTGAGCCATGTGTCGTGATTCCCACCCCTAGTAATTATGTCCCCACTGAATGCAACAAATGCCTCATTTGTAATGGGTTTTATTGCTTTTGTCTCATTGTGCCGGGAGACAGCATCACACTGTAGGGGTCGACCGATATGTGTTTTTCAGGGCCGATGTCGATACCGATTATTACAGATCAAGTAGACCGATAAACGATATTTAGAACCGATATACATGTCTGGTGTAAAAATTTAAATTAATGTCAAAATTAAGAATAAGGGCTCTGACAAAAACTGCCTTCCCTGGTGTTGGTTGTGTAGTACTCCCACACTGCACTGCTTACTCTTGTCTTCCTCTGTGCATCCATCTAAAATAAGGGTAATATAAAGAGAGAGGCCACTGTATGCTTCATGATTAAGCCTATGAATACTGTACTACAGCTAAACAGCTTGGGGAAATGCAAGTATTTGGCTTCAATAATTTACATGTTAGAAATGTATGTGTAATAGCATAACCTCTCATAATTTCTCATTAATTATTTTCTGATGTCTAAAACCTAACCTACAATAGTAGAGGTGACTATTCAATTCATCATCTAATGCACATCAATGGATTAACTTTAAAAAAATGTATATAATAAGTGTAAATAAATTAATTGTCTTCATAGCTAGATTGTAGAAGTCGTTAAGAAGACTGCAACTATTTTCATGAAACTATAACACTAATAGCCTATTACAGGCACACTTAGTTCAAT